GATTTTTTCCTGTGGATTCTGGAGTATATATCCTACTATAATCTAGCTTTCAGCCTAAGGCGGAGGCAAAGTTTTTCTATATATAGTTTAACTCTGAGACTTGTAAACATGCTGAACGGCAGATTTAAGACATTATCATTGCTTAACGAATATATACCACCGTAACCTCAGCGATGCCCATGTTTTCTGAGAAGAAACAAATTAGAAATCACTTTAAATTACCACACTACTCCAATATAAGCTGAAACACAAGCCCAAAACATACTCAAAATGTTGCTTTTTTCAGAACGTTTTCAATCTTGAATTGGGAATTAAATTTTTGAATCCCCTTCGAAAGTGCCGTCATTTAATTGAGTGAGGTGCAAGATAATTTTTTTATTAACAGAGTTGATGATTTAAATTGACCACCGTAAAGAGTTTCTGAAGCTGACGTTTCGTGTGTTAGCCCTTCGTCAGAGCGAAGGCCTGAAATTATACGCGTGATTTCCGAAAGTTTCTTTCATTTTCCTGCAATCTGATCAGTTACCTTAAACAAGGCTTGAAATCCAGGTTGTTGTTGTTTTTAAGCAAGTCTTTCTCATCGGTTGGGAAAAACATGCGACTGATTTAGAGCAAAAAATTGTGCGCTTCGTGAATTAACTGCACAAGTGAGAGCCGCTAAGATTGCAAGGATCACCAGGGATTTCAAAATGGATGTTTTCGACAGGTAAATTGACAGTTACCAGCTCCCTTCATTTCCCCTTACCTGTGCGTGAGAAGGAAGTATAGGTCGTCAGTTTAGTGCACAATGTGGTTGACTCCGAATATTTTCCCTTCCAGTCACAATTTGTGGAAGTTGTGGCGAGCCATCCTATATCTTCAGAACAACCTCCATGGTTCCTGATGATATAGACGTCTCTTTTACTACAGCAGCCTTTGACAGAGATGAGATGATGTGGTTCATTACTGAGATCTGCCCAGGGAGAGTCAGTGACGCGAGTTTCTGGGAACCGGTTGACTTTGTCAGAGCTTGTAGAGTTAAAGACAATGGTAGGATCTTCTGTGCCTCCTGCAAATAGCAATATTCCTATTCACTTCATGCTACGGAAACTGGGATAAGCTCCATCACAGTGTAGTCACATTCTATTGAGGAGTAGTAAGGATACTTCAAGTTGCGTTATACTACAGCTGAACTAGAGTGGAAGCTGTACCAGTTGTTCTTGTTTGCAGACTCGACCTTTCAATGACAACGATACTTTATTTCCTCTCGCCACTGTCCTAATACTATTATCGTTTTAAAAGACATGAAAGCCTAAAAAACTGTGTAGATTACCTGATCTCTGCAACGAAAGTTTCATTCCTAACTAAGTCGCTATTCAGAGCCTTTTATTTAAGTTACCAATGATTATCAGTCTACCTCTGTAGGGTTCACAGTCTGCCAGTTCGTCACCATACGGTTCTAATTTTTTGGTAA